ATTTTCGGTAAATATTTAAATAAATGTATCAATTAGTTATGTAAAATTATTTTGATAATACGTAGTTGAAGAGTTATACTACTATTAGTCATATATTAATGACTTATAGACGAGATATTAGATTTTAAAATTATTTTTTATTATACTTATTATATATAATTTAATATTTTCTCCAAATAAAAAAAGTTAAATCAAAGTAGAAAAATTGTCTAAAATAATATATTTTTTAACAAATCTCTAAAAGAAATATCACTTTTTCATTTAATTTACTCTTTTATTATCGTCAATCGTTGTTAAGATATTTTCTTTCTGTTTGTAAAATTATTATTTATCATCTACAAAATAAAATACGTAAATTATCGTAAAAACTAGTTTCTAGCTTCCAGCATTTTGAGATGAAAAAATACTAATAATAACATCAACATATATATGATGGTTTTTTTTTAATAAATTCATAAATTATGATTTTGTTTTAGTGTATATCTTAATATTATTTCTTCCTTTTAAAATACATATAGATACAATAGAATAATCAATGACTAATGAGTTCCCGTAATCACAATCAATAATCTTCAAACCTTTTAATAGACAACGAAGAATAAAAACTATGTGACCCACTAAACTAAATAATTAACAAGATGAAAATACTACAAAATTGAGAGTTTAAAAAGTATTGAACTTTGAAAACTTACACTACAAATTTTTCTCTTTAAGAAGTCAAGAAGGAGAATATGTAGTTATGAATTAATTAATTAATTGAAGAAAAAAATCCTCGTCAAAATTGTTTTAAAAAATTGGGCTCCCCTTGGCCCCAGGCCTTTGCCAGTCTAGCCTAGGCTGGTCTTGATGTTTTTTTTATTTTATTTTTATTATTATTATTAAAAATCATTTACCTTTCTGATATGTTTCTTTATTTATTATATTGATTAGTTTTATTATTATTTATTTTTCAATCTTCTCTTTCTAAATTATTATCTTGGGGCAAAATTCTGTATCAAAATGTTAATCTTTTATTATGTTCTATTCAAATGAACATGTTTGTTTAATTTGTTTGAAATAATTCTATTAAAAAAAATAAACACTTATATTTTTTTTAATGTGTTCATCTAAATTACATTTTAAGAAAAAATAGATTTTTTATTTTTTAAAGAAATAATTCCTATCTACTTCATAAAAAAAATTACTTTTTAAATTATTTTTTGGTAATTATTTTTTAATTAATTTTGAACAAACCGACCAATGTGATGTGTGAATATGTTATTCTCATCTCCTAATTAATTAAAAGTATCAATCTTGAAAAGGAATAAGAATGGATTGTAAATCCTATGAGATTTGTTCCTTTATTAAGACGCTGAAAATTATGTCTTATAGCCTATGTCGTGGCCGGATGGTGGTATATTTGAAATATTGTGTATAAATATATTTCATGATATATTATTAAAAATTTAGCAAGCATATCAAATCACATAAATGGTAAATTTGATGGTGTTAAATAGTTTTAAAAAAAAAAATATTGCTTCCCTAAGAAACTTACTTAATATACACTCAAATTCAATTTTGTTCTATCTAGATTATAATTATATATTTTGGTTGTTGTGAAAATTTAAGCAACAGACTAAATTTAGAGAAAATTAATAATTTAAAAAAAAATTTAGGACTATTTAATGGATTAAAACACAAAGAAGAATTGATTTAAATTAATATATATGATTAAAAATATTAGGATTTGATTTTACTATACCATCTTCACATGTATCAAACAACTGATTATTAAATTATTGGTTGTAGTTCAAATTATTTCAATCACTAATAAAATAACTTGATTTTTAAAAGTGTGAATGCGTAAGTCCTTTGATTAATTTATGAAATCTTGTGAAGATTAACTAATCAATTTGCATTAAGATAAGGTTAGAAAATTTAACTAATAAACCTTACATTATTATACTAGTTATGAGTTTTATTAAGTTTCTCGTTTTATTTACGATTTTGAATTCCAATAAATTATATTACGGGTGATCAAATCACAATAATTATTAAGAGTAAAAATGAAAATAGATAACTAAATAAAAACTTCAATAAAATTTAGGAAAAGTATGTGAAATAAGGTTTAACCACATCAATCTTCATTATGAATGAGTTAGCTTCTCATGATCATGAAGAAAAAAATTAAAAAATAATAAAGACAAGTGTAAAAGTCATGAAAATGTTCTCAAATAATTAAAGTAATGAAAATGTACACTTAAATTAACTTTAATTATAAATTTGATAATAAAATATATGTTTTTTTATAATTGTATTATTGATGTAAAATACTTTTATATAGGAACATAGTTTACAATCTTTAGTCGTGTATATAGTATTCAAAGTTAAAATCTTACTTAAAAAATAATAAATTTAATTTTATTTAGACTAACGATTTATCGATACAAAAAGATTATATAAATTAATTAAATTAGTTATATATATATATATATATATATATATATATATATATATATATAAATTAATATATATATATATATATATATATATATATATATATATATAAACCCTAAAACATTTAGAGTCGTTACATTTTATTTATTATTCTCTTACGGGACACATTAAATAATGAAAAAAAAAAACCCTAAATTTTTTTTCTTTTTTTCTTCTTCTAAATCTTAAAATCTAAAAGAATTCCTTAACTCTTAAAATCTCTGTCAAAATATCAAATCAAACAATTATTGTTAAAAAAAATAATTAATCAAAACTTATAATAACAAGTTTTACTTTAACCAAACATAAAAATAAAAGTTTATTTTCTTTACGTTAATAAAGTTCATCAAAAAAACATTTATTTCAAGAAAAATATAATAATCAATATTCTATATTCTATATTTTATACTATGAGAATTAGTTTATGTGACACCCTCTACCCCAACATAAATACAATAGATATAAACCATCTATATATAAATTCTTTCTTAGTCTAATATAAAATAATTATCTCAAGTATCATTGGGTAAAAGATGCACATTCATAATTTTCAACTGTAAGTATCAAATTGTCAAGAAATAATAAAATAAAGATTATAGATTAATCCCAGTAAAGGTGGCAGAGCCTCCTAGTTAGGAATTAACTTATAATCTTTTAGTAAAATTATAATATGACAAAAATACACACTTTCAACATAAATAACATAAAAATTACAAAAGAAAAATAATAATAATTTAACAATAAGTCTAGCTAATCCCGATGTCACATCCTATCAGAGCGAAACCCAAACAGAAGCCTAAGCTTCACCACCAACATCCTCAGCCTCATGCTAATTATCTGCATCATAATTTAAATATACACAAAAATGACAAGGGAGTGAGAAACTTCTCACTCAGTTGCAGATATAGAAATAAAAGTTAAATAGCACACACACACGCAATATAATTCACATATATAATCAATCTCACATATATGCTTATGTATAATGATTTTCTTGACTTGACTCACTAATGTATGCATGTGGCGCCATACGGAAGTTGCAGAATTCATCACTGGTGACCCGAAGGCACACCTATACAATTGTCGGTGACCCTAAGGTACACCTATCATTGGTGTTCATACACCTCGTTAGCATATCGTGGGTGACCCAAAGGTACACCTTGTTAGTCGTGGGTATGCGGCCTCAGCGGCACACCTGGAGTAATATGTGCATATGATGCATGTCATACATTCACAGACTCAACCTTTAGCATGTTACACATATCATATTCATATTTCATAATTAAGAATTATTTCAATAATCCAATTTAATAGTCCAATAGTCCAACAGTCCAAACAGTCCAACAGTCCAAACAGTCCAACAGTCCAACAGTCCAACAATCCAACAGTCCAGAGGTTGCTTAGGTATCATATTTTTCAATAATAATATATTAAGATCTTTTAAGTAAAGTAGGAAGCTTAAAAGGTAATATAAGATAATAAGGAGGCTCAGCCTTCCATTTAAATAATAGATTACAAATTTATAAATACTTAGGAGGCTTAGCCTTCCATTCAAATAACAGATTCTAATATGTAAATAAATAAGATATAAAACAAAACACATCAATAATACATATTCAAAGAAATAAACAACAGGCAAGGGATCGGGAGCCAATCCAACAAACAAACTATTTAACAATTATTCCCACACCCCCAAGTGAGGTTTCCCACTCCCCCCTTACCTGGGTTTACAGAAATTTGGGCAGAATCTCCTCCTCTCTATCTTTCCTTAAAAGGAATCGGAATTAGGGCAGAATCTCTTCCTCTTTCTCCTTAAACAAGACACTAGAGCAGAACCTCCTTTTCTTTCTCCTTCTCTCTCTCTTACTTTCTCTCTCTATTTCTCCAGAATTTCCTTCTCTCTAGAATTCTAAATTTTCAAAACCTTAAGTCCCTATTTATAGAATTTTTGAAGTTACTATGCACTATGCACTATTCATTAAAATAATATTATAAGTTACTATGCACTATGCACTATTCATTAAAATAATATTATAAATTACTATGCACTATGCACTATTCATTAAAATAATATTATAAATTACTATGCACTATTCATTATTATATTCAAATTTATTATAAAATTTGAACCCGCGTCCCTCGTGCAGCCGCCCTTCACTGTGCAATTGCATAGTGAAATACTATTCATACATACGTATACGTAAATAGTAAAATACATAAATAAAATACTTATTCACATAATAAATACATAAAAAATATTTCTTTTCATTGAATAAAATTTGGGATGTGACAGTTTAACCGTGGAAAGTTAAGGTAATAGTATAACAAGATATCTTAAATTTGAATTATGGTATTTATTTAATTTAGATAAATAATTTTTTTTCCATCTTTTATAAAATTTCTCAATAATAAAAAATGTAAGAATGAAAAAGTAAGTTGGTCCACAATAATAATAAAGGGAAAAAAAAAAAAAAAAAACCTAAAGCAACTGAGTTCTTTTGAGTTTTGAGACATGTTCTGCCCCATCATAATGTACCCAACAAACAACACTCTCTCTCTCTGTTCCTCGGACTTTGATCTTTCTGTATTCCAATACTTTATCCATTTTTGGCATCTTGGTTGCTTTCCTCTCTTTCCAAAATCGAATCTTTCTCATCAGGGGTTTCGTAGCGTGATGGCTCTGTTCTGTCACAATGAGTGCTCTGAATAGGACCATTTCCTTCAACAAATCTTCCTCCTTCAATCGAAGGACTCACGTGCTCGGAAGTCCAAGACCGAATCACAATCACAACCGCACCGGATGCGTTTTTCTAAGGTTCCAGGTTCTCGTCATCATCGTCTCCGTCATTTCCTTCTTCGTAGCCGTAGGTGGTGGCTACATATACGTGCTTCCGAGCCTAAGCCGCGCCTTTTTCAATGCCCAAGTTCTCTTATCTGAAGACAACAACAATGGATCAGTGAGAGAATGTGATGTCTTTGATGGAACATGGGTGCAGGTTAAAGATCAAGGTCACACCTTGTACAATGCCACTGATTGTCCCTTTGTGGAGCGAGGGTTCGATTGTTTAGGGAATGGGAGGAGTGACAGGGATTATCTTGGTTGGAGGTGGAAACCTAGGAGTTGTGAGATTCCGAGGTTTGATGTGCGTGGTGTTTTGGAGATGTTGAGGAGCAAAAGGGTTGTTTTTGTTGGTGATTCGATGAGTAGGACGCAGTGGGAGTCTCTGATTTGTATGCTCATGGCTGGGGTTGAAGATAAGAGGGGTGTTTATGAAGTGAACAGGAATCAGATAACAAAGCGGATTAGGTTCTTAGGGGTTCGGTTCAGTGCATTCAATTTCACCATTGAGTTTTTCCGTTCGGTTTTTT